TATGACTATTTATAAAATTGTGTGTGTACCTGTTTATCTCTGTTTTTATGATATACTGTAGTGTAGTTTTAATGATTTAATGTAGTTTTAATGATTTTACAGTTGAAACTTGTTGTTTTTGTCTTCTGCTAGAAGTCTAAGCAACTGTCAGTTACCATTAAAGAACTGTGTTGTATCAGATCATCCCAAATCAGTTTATGGCTCAATAACCCACGCCATACAATGTTTTGTGATTTGTTTTGAAGACTTAATATTTCAGACTGCATAGTACCCTAATTTCAAGGTTTAGATAGTCTTTTTGGTTTAAAAAAAAATTTATTTAAATATTTGTACCGCAAATAATTGTTACTGCTATAGAGTGGAAAGTGTTATGTTTTTGTAGCATGAAGATATGAGGGGTTGATCTTGCCTTATAGCCTGTTTTTTAAAAAATCTTTGTACCAGGGGGTGTGTATATATGCACACACATACATCTCCATTTCCCCCTCATTCCTTACTCAGACAAGCTTCCACTGACTGGACATTTTCCCTGAATAAGTACTGAGGAAAACTGAGAAAGATGTTCAGGATGATGCCCTCAGATGGACAGAAGATATCCTGCAAAATATATATCCATATAAAATACACAGGGCTTGAATTCAATGTTGCATCAGGGCCCAATATATTTATAGGGGAAGGAGTTATTCAGTATAATGCTTAACTTCCCTTGCCTTGTACTTTTAAACGTAAAAATACCAGGAATGAAATGTACAACAAAATAGAATTTGGTGTAGTTTTGAGCTCTAGACTGCTGAGCGCCAAGTTCTGAGTCATAGTCATCCAAAACAGTCGCGTAATTGGGCCTCTGTCAGAGGTTGTTGTTCAAGTGTTTGGGACTATACAGTAATGAAAAAGACAACGTAAACATCTTCCCGGTAGTAATTTGTGTCATTACTGTTATCTTTTATTTTTAATGTGGGATTATTGTGATACTCGTAAAGTGAGGCATGGATAGCACTGGCTGGAGGGAAACACAGCATGGGAAGGTGTTGTGAAAGCTTCTCCAGGTGATATAGTTAATGGGCCTACACTGCTATTCCAGGCTTGACCTTTCCTTACCAGAGACTGAAATTAAGGCCTAATGGTTTGATGCCTTTTTTGATAATTCACAAGCAAAATGCATTTGGTGTCTTATTATTACTTTATTGTTACACACATTGCTAAAGCACCCATTAGCTTAGTATTTGGGCACTCGTACATACATTCACTCCTGTACAATAGGTGCCCTGTAACAGTACTCCCTGCTGCCAGTGATATTCAGTTATTCCACAGATAATTTAGTCTTTAATTAGTCCATATCTTAACTCTTAAAATGAACATGACTTATCTTTAATACCTATGTTCAGAGGATAACGCTCAGTCGTCTCATCTGGGAGCAGGTTCTTAGAAAATGTGCCTATCCCAAGAGATCAGAGTATTATTGAAATTTCTCAGTTATTGTGTCTATCAGAATGCAGTCCACTTCATGGTCCCTCTGGAATATAGGTTGTAGATCTTCAGTGCCTCTGGTAGCAGTGTGGAGGACTTCCCCCTTTTATTTCTGTACATTACCTCTTGCTTCCAGGAGAACGTGGTAGTGCTGCAGCTGGGGCTGCGGGTTCTGGGGTGGAGCCAGAAATGAGGAGTTCAGGGTGCGGGAGGGGGCTTCAGGCTGGGGCAGGGGGTTGGGGTGCAGACTCTGGGTAGGGCTAGGGATGAGGGGTTGGGGTGTAGGAGGGTGCTCCGGGCTGGGTCCAAGGGGTTTGGAGGGCGGGAGGGCGATCAGGGCTGGGGCAGGGGGTTGGAGCGTGGGAGGGGGTCAAGCTCCGGTTGGTGCTTACCTCAAGCAGCTCCTGGAAGCAGCGGCATCTCCCCCCTCCGGCTCCTATGCGGAGGCACGGCCAGGCAGCTCCCATTGGCCGTAGTTCCCAGCGAATGGGAGCTGTGGAGGCAGTGCTTGGGGCAGGGGCAGTGTGTGGAGACCCCTGTCTGCCCCTATTTGTAGGAGCCGGATGGGGGACATGCTGCTGCTTCCAGGAGCCGTGCGGGAGTTCGAGGGCTGGATGCAGCCCCTGGGCCATAGTTTGCTCACCCCTGGTGTACTATGTATCACGTGTGCTTATATGGCCCCCATCACCATAGTGCTTGAGCACCTCACACTGTATAATGTTTCTCCTCACAACACCATGTGAGCTAGGGATGTGCTATTATTCCTATTACACAGAGAGGTTTAAGTCCACACTTAACCTGACATAGCTACTGTGCTCAGGGGTATGAAAAATCCACACCCCATGAGCGCCGTAGATATGGCTAACTAACCCCTGGTGTAGATGCAAGTCGGTTGATGGAAGAATGCCTCCATTGACGGGGAAGATGGATTTCCTACAGCAACGGGAAACCCATTCCATTATTGTAGGCTGTGTCGATGCTACGGGGTTATGTTGGCATAGCTACAGTGCCCATGTGTAGACATGGACTGACTTGCCCAAAGTCCCACAGTAAGTTTGTGGCAAAGCAGGAATTGAACCCAAGTTTCCAGAGTCCCAGGCTAGTGCTCTAATCACAGAACCAGCTTTCCTGCCTGATACACAGGAGTGCTGGCAAGAAAATAAACTTCTTTCTCAAGCCTTACTCAGGCTTTGGTCAGGGTGATGAAGTTCAATACCCTGTCACGTGAACACAGGTCATCAGCTGTTATTTCCACTGGCATGATGCAATGCTGTCAATGGAAGTATACTACTTCGCATTCATGGCCTCCTTCTACCTGGTTGAGACTCCAGGTACAGCAAAGGGCTCCATCCATTCAATCGGCAAATATTTGCATACATTTGTACATCTAGTTAAATATGGTTAAGACTAACACTCCATCTGATTGGCACCTAAGTTTCCAGAGAGACAACCACTTATTCCACAGATGCCCTGGAAAGTTGTGACGATCTATATCTTAGAGCTACGTCGCTATATCTACATACGGAACACATTATTAATCAATCAATTCATAAGCACCTAGAAGATAATAGGGTTATAAGGAATAGCCAGCATGGACTTGTCAAGAATAAATCATGCTAAACCAACCAAATTTCCTTCTTTTGACAGGGTTACTAGCCTAGTGGATGCGGGGGAGCAGTTAATATATCTTGATTTTGGTAAAGATTTTGACACAGTCCCACATGACATATTCATAAGCAAACTAGGGAAATGTGGGCCAGATGAAATTACTATAAAGTGAATGCACAGCTGGTTGAAAGACTGTACTCAGAGTAGTTATCGATGGTTCACTGTCAAACTGGGAAGGTATAGCTAGTGGAGTCAGTTCTGGATCTGATACTATTCAATATTTTCATTAACAACTTGGAGAATGGAGTGCAGAGCATGCTTATAAAATTTGCAGATGACACGAAGCTGGGAGGGGTTGCAAGCACTTTGGTAGACAGGATGAGCATTAAATGACCTTGACAAATTGGAGAATTGGTCTGAATTCAACAAGATGTAATTCAATATAGACAAGTGCAAAGAACTTCACTTAGCAAGGAAAAATCAAATGCACAACTACAAAATGGGGAATAACTGGCTTGGTGAAAAGGTATAGGGATTATAGTGGATCACAAATTGAAGATGAGTCAAAAATATGATGCAGCTGTGAAAAAGGCTAATATTCTGGGGGTACTTACAACAGAAGCATCATACATAAGACATGGGAGGTAATTGTCCTGCACAACTAGGTATAGGTGAGGCCTCAGCTGGCCTACTGTGTCCAATTCTAAGCACTACACTTTAGGAAAGGTGTGGACAGAGGAGAGCAACAAAAAAGAGAAGGTTTTGAAAACCTGGCCTATAATGAAAGGTTAAAAAAATTGGGCTTGTTTAGTCTTGAGAAAAGAAGACTGAGGGGGCACCTCAGAATAGTCTTCAAATATGTTAAGGGCTGTTATAAATGAGATTGTGATCAATTGTTCTCCGTGTCCCCTGAAGGTAGGACTGGGCTTAATCTGCAGTAAGGCAGATTTAGGTTAGATATAAAGAAAAAACTTCTAACTATAAGGATAGTTAAGCACCAGAATAGGCTTCCAAGGCAGGTTGTGAAATCCCCATCATTGAAGGTTTAAGAACAGGTTAAACAAACACATGTCAAGGATGGTCTAGGTGTACTTGAACCTGCCATAGCTCTGTGGGCTGGACTCAATGACTTCTCAAGATCCCTTCCAGCCCTACATTTCTATGATTCTATAAAAGAATGGCATCTTTAACGTTTCCCTATTTTTGGCCGACCTTTTCTGTTCTGTGAAACCTAGGGTTGCTTAAAGGTCAACACAAGAGATTAAAAATATTTCCTAAACCGATTTAGGGACTGAAATGATTAACAAGGCACAGTGGTATGTAGGCATGGTTTTAAGAATTGTGGAGATATTAATATTTGAAAACAAAATATTTGGTTTTTAATCTACCTCCTTCTATTTACCTGCCAAGACACAAGTTCAGGCTTTTTTCCTGTAATCGTTGACAAGATCATTGAGACTTATGGTCCCATCTGAACTGACAAGTTATCATAGCGAATTAAAGCCACATTATTTTTCATGTTGCTCATTGACTGATATCAAGGAGGTAGAGAAAATTTGATGGCACTTAAAACAATTAGCTTATCTATAAACCTAATGATCTCTATGTGAAGTTAAAGAGCAATATTTACTCAACTAGCAATACTTGGTCAAATGCCTAGCAAAATCAAATCTATGCAGCACTGATAGGGAATGAAAACACAGTTGGTTTATTGTGTATGATAGTAATTTTATCTATCTTGTCTAGGTAATCTGATTGCACATTTCCATAAGTAAACTTCTAACTCCCCATGTCTGTTTTGATTATAAACTGGTAATTGCTGTCTGCACAGGAAGCAGTTTGGCAGGTTTTAATGTTATGTGACATAAACTTTCAGTGCGGAGCCCCTACTTTACCCTTTTAAAATGTTCTCGGTGTCTTCTAGATTAGAGACCGGCCATATTATCATGGAGAATTCAGCAAAAGAAAACGCTCAGTTGTTCTCAAAAACCATAATCCTGCCAATTGACAGGTCTTCATCTAAATCTGAATCTTCTGCTTCCAAGGAGAAACAAACGTGCTGTGGAGGTATAAAGGTAAGGAAGAGCTCTGAATTTTACAGCACAGACCATTGAATGGCTGAAGTTTTGTTGCTGGATGCATTTTCCCCCCAGTATATTTCTCACTGGAATGTTCCCCTTTTTCCATTCAGTGTAAAAGTGATATAGATGGATCTAATTTATGAAGTTCTGATGCTGATTCAAATTTCCCTAACTTTTGGGGATGTTCAGCTCTGAGGCCATGGTTCAGGCTCACGTGTAATGTGTGTTCAGTAGCCACTATTAACAACTAATATTTACCCACAGTTACCAGCCCATGGTATTTCCCTGAGTTAACAATAGAATAGTACACTGGTTCTCAAACTTTTTTTTTCGCAGAACACTTGAAAATCTCCGAGGGTCTCGGCGGACCACTTAATGAGCTTTCCTAATGTCATTTGTACCATTAGCTAACTATTGTAAAGTGCTTTGGATAAAAGCACTATATAAAAAAACCCTTAATAATAATGAATGGTTTTTTGTTCTACAAATAAAAGCGCACAACTCATATTTTAATATCAGTAGTCTTGCCTTTCTAATCAGATGGATGTGCCTTCTCTCCCCTGCCATGGCAGCCCCTGAGCTCTGGCTGGGAAGGAGGGGGGGGGGTCTCTCCCTCTCTCCCACACTGCAGCAGCCTCCGAGCTGGGGCTGGGAAGGAGGGGGGGTCTCTCCCGCACCATAGCAGCCCCAGAGCTGGGGCTGGGAAGGAGGGGGGTCTCTCCCCGGCAGCCGCAGCCCTGGAGCTGGGAAAAGTCGCCTCTTTCTCTAGCCACCACAGCCCTGCACGTCCCAAATTCCTCCCACTCCCTCTTCTCACCCCACTGCCCCCTCCCACCTACCCCTTATTCCCCCCAAGGCCACCACCTCACCTTACATGTGCATCTTCTCCAGGGTCCAGGCACCTAATTAGTGGAGCCACGCCTGTGTGGCTCCACTAATTAGGTGGGTGGCCCTTCATTCTCTTGCTCACCCACCCAGGTGTGCACCTTAGAGGGAACTATCCACGGACCACTTGAATGGAGCTCACGGACCACTGGTGGTCCACGGACCACAGCTTGAGACAGGGCCGGCTTTAGGTTTTTTGCCGCCCCAAGCAAAAAAAAATTGTGCCGCCCCAAGCACGTGCTTGGTTTGCTGGTGCCTAGAGCCGGTCCTGGTTTGAGAACCTCTGGAATAGTAAATGTTTGTAGTACCAGTGTGTGGGGTCAGTAAATGTCTTTTTTTTTTTTAAAATGGTAGCTCTGGTAACATAGGTTTCTGGAATTTGAAAAATGATTCCTACTACTTTACGTACATCTTGAACACTTCACTGATGGAACAAACATGAATTTTGATTTGTGGTACTATGAATGAGGGACCCTGAAAACCAACCGTAATGTGTTGGTTTTTTTGGTTCTCATCAAACTCTGAGCCCACCCAAAATTGCTGTGCTTGAATGAGAGCATTCTCTTGTGAGTTCAACTTCAGCAGCCTCAGACTTGTGATGTAGCAGTGCAATGTGATAATGTCACAACACATTCACATTACAATACCATCCTGGAAGAGCACTCCCTCTGGAAATCCAGCCCTGCACAAGCGGGCGGTAGAAGATCAGTTATTTTTTCATGCAACTGGTCTTTTCTTGCAATCTGCACTCCAGGGATCGGCTTCTGCTATGGTGTGAGTTGAGTTCACTGAGGTATATGTGGTCACAATCTGAATCAGAACATCTTTGCCTTTGCCAAATTCTTGCTCCCCTTCACATTCTTTATTCCTTCTGGTTTTCCATTGTTACAGTCCATTGTTTCCAGTTACAATCTGAGCCAATATCCATGGAAAGAGTCCCAATGGTTTCAATGAGATTGGAGCCTGTAAATTACAGCCCATAACAGATAATCTGCTCTGTGATACAATGAGTCTGGTAATTTTGTACAGAATAAAGTGACAACTTTGACAACATAAACTCCTGAATATTTCCATTGGTCTTATCTACCACCACACAGATATCCACTGATGGCTGAAAACTGGGCCACTGTTGCTGAGAAATTAAAAACAAGTGGTATTAATTAAACCTACATTATAATAGCAATAAAATCATTGCCCCTCTGTTTGCTCAACAATAATCTGATTCCCTCATTGAATAAACCTTCAGTCACAGTTCAGCCACTCAGGAATCAGCTTATTGCCTCCAAAATACACTAATATTATAGCTCAAACAATTAGTGCAGTTTGGAAATTTTGCTGCTATCACGCTTCTGGGCCTGGAAAGTTGGGTCAGTTAACCTCTAGAAAACTTGAATAATGAGGAGATTTGGCGAATTGATTTTGTAAACGGCCAGCCTTTCACAAACTTTGCACTTAGGTTTACTTACCAAAAAAAGCACCAGCTGATTTATGGTGAGGTCAACACCCAACTTTATCTATGTTTGGAAGTGAGCAGGAGAAGGATGGAACATCCTGGGCATTTCTACATTGCCAGTGTAATTCAGAAGCATTTTTGCTACCTCCTGATGTCAGGTTCCCTCTTAGGTAGTTCCAAGACATTTAAGAAATCTGACCTCAAAATATGTCTGAAAACGAAGAGGTTTGAAGTCCTGTTTTCATTACATCATCTACCCCTGAAAATCATATTCATGTTTTTACATGACCATATAAAATCCAAAGTCATTAATGCGCACACAAAGGAAAATGACAGTTATGCTTATTTTCCTTGGAAAGCTTTCTGAAAGCCCTCCTGGTGGGAAATACTGTTCATACCATACAAAGTGGGGAAAGTTTTATTTAAATTATAGCAGGCACTTAGGAGATTTCCGCGGGTAGCAGCCCATGCTGGGAAGCAATGCAAGTGGGACACTGGGAAATTAGAAAGCGCAATGCGAAAGTTTGCATTAAACTTGAATACCAATTCTACAATCAATAGACCAAATTATGTACTAGGAGGGAAGTGTTCCTATGGAGCTCTTGATTTACCCCGTTTTGTGTAACTTCACTCGGGATAGTCATAAATGCACAGCATGGGGGAGAGTGTGGCCCTTGGTGTGTGTTATACATTATGACGTGCATCATTGCTATGGTTTTTTTCCTACACAAACAAAAGACATATACGTGCAGTCAGCACAGCCTTTGTTTGATAGTGAAAAAACGACATGTGGCCTCCATTAGAAAGCACACGGCGTTTGACTCTATTCTGGAGCTGGTTGCATCCGACTGAAAATAACTAGCTGTGCAAAAAGAGATGTGGGGAGTCTCCATTTAACAGACTAGTCTGTGTTAGGGCTGGCCTTACTCATGGTACCACGTAATGGCTAGGTCCCTAGGTCATAAATCTCCCCCATCTCCAGTGTCCCCAGCCCGGTTGTCACTCCAGCACAGTAGTGGTCTCTCTTCCGGCAGGTAGTAACTCATCCCTCCACCCAGGTCACTATTGAAGTCCACCCCTTTCATCTAACAAAGTGTATAAGTCCAACATCCCCCCAGAAAGAGTTTCTGGCTCGGCTCAGCTCCGGGCCCCTGAAGACCTCACAACCTTACTTCAGGGCTTACAATGTCTTTATCTCTCTTACCTCAAGGAGGCAGAAGGGTTATGTCACCCTGGTTGCTGGTTGGTAGGGGAGCCCAGACCCACCCTCTCTGCAGGGCTCTGACCCAGGGCTCTGTAAGAGGCAGTAATATCAAGCACCCAGGCGTGCTCTGAGGTTACCTCCCTCGACCACTTCCTACCATTTACTTTCTCAACTTAATGCATGGTCATAGTCTCACAAACAATCCGAGAAAAGCTAGAGTGCGGGGTTCTTTAATCCTTAAGGATCTTTAATCTGGTCCTCTTCTGCAGCCTTTGGTACCTGTTGCTTGCGGACCCCCCTTCTCTGCAGCAACAGCTCCCACTGTTCCCTTACTTGGGCACTCTCAGATAGCTCTGTCACCACTTGCTATCCCTGTCCCCCTTTCTGAGCTGTCTGGCTTGCTTTTAAACTCCTCCTCCTGCTGGAGCAGGCTCTGCAGGTGCAGTGGGATAGGACCACTTGGGCCTAAAACTGCTCCTTAGCCATCTTCTATCCCAGTGTGGGGTTTATATACTCCATCATGCAGACATAAGAGAAAAACATATATACGCTGTAGTTATTATATGACAGGAGGTTTGATGGGGGAAGGATCGTTCTACAAAGGACATTTTTCATATGAAGAATTTTAAAATGAAGGTTTGAGGATGGCTCCTGGGATTGATAAAGGGAAGCAGCACCTTTTGTCTCATGCTCATTGGTTAACATCCAGTCCAGATTGGGGTTGTTTAAAGCCCCTATTCTGCAAGTTGCTCCATAGTAGCAGATTCTCCTGTCCCAGGTCCGAGTGACTTCAGTAAGAACAACTTTCAGGATAAGGGTTTTAAAGTTATTACCATTGGATGGCTGGTTCCCTATGTGAAATGGGTTGCTACTGTCAGTCTATTCCCTAGTGAATAAGTGTTCATATGAAAAAAAAATCCATCCAAATTGACAGTAATTGCTTCTACAGGAGGCTGAATTATCCCCCTAGCCCTAGAGACAGGGTTTGCTTTGTCATTTTGTTGTCTCCTGCTAGAGATAATAGCGGTGTTGTCGGACAGTGAAGGAAATTTGAACTGCTGCTGTCCATGAGCTGTGGATAAACAGAAGATTGTCAATCCAGCACCTTTCACAAACACAAGGAAAAATCACTCATAATAATAATTAATAATAAAAGTCTATTTTTAAAAAAATGTTTAATTCAATTAATACAACAAAATATTTGTTATAGTATGATCTTAATTACCATCGACTTCTCTCACAGATATTTCTTGGCGCATTATCCTTTGTTTACTTCGCTAAAGCATTGTCAGGAAGTTATCTAAAAAGTACCATCACCCAAATAGAAAGAAGATTCGATATCCCTTCTTCTTTGGTTGGTGTTATTGACGGCAGCTTTGAAATTGGTATGTGGTGCTTTCATTTTCAGACAAAACTAATGCCACCTGTCATTGTGGCAAATGATCGTACAAATCTCATAGGCCTATTGAAGTTAAATGAGATCCATCTGGCAAGAGCAAATGTGGCCTTTAATATGTGTTTACATTTGGTGTGACAGTGATGAGACTGCGCTTAACATGGCCCTGACCATGTAATGGTTGAAACTGTGGTGGTGACTGCTGCTTTAGAGATGGTTCTTGTTAGCACTGTTTTTCTGAACCAGCATGGACAGGGATTTTATTGTGAGAAATATGATAGCCAGGGTATAGACTACTCCCCTAGATAGCACAATGCAGGGTTGTGGCGGAGCCTGATTCACCCATAGTGTGGCCTGAGCTGCAGACATTTCATTTATCCATGTAATTCAGCAGTGGTGCCCTCAGTTGTACGCACAGAGTGTACTATTGGCAGTGGTGAGGAGTGGCAGCACTAGCAGCTGCCCCACTGCCAATTCAGGTTTGGTCCTGCACTCCCTCTGTCATGACGGAGGGGCTGCGGGGCCAAACCAGATGAGCACATTGGGCAGGGGGAGGCCAGTGCTGCTCCGCCTTGCGGCTGCTGCATGGTGAGGCAGGTCCTACATCAGGGCTTCCCACAAGGAGCCTGCCCAGCCTCATCCTGTCCCCCTCTCAGGGATGGGGGTGTGATGCTGCACCTGGGCAAGCCAGGCTGAGAGGCAGGGGCTGAGCCTAGCAAAGACTTGGGGCGTGGAAAGCTGGGGCCAGCAGCTACAGTGGGGTTGGCTCCACAGGGACTGATGGGGTGTACCATGGGGGAAAATTCCAGGGGGGCACCTCTGTAATTAAGTGCTGTGGTAAGGGAGCTGCATACATCAGACCATGTATTATTCTTTCCTTAGGCAAGCCCAACCAGAGACATGTACCATTGGTTACCTTGAAGCAGTGTTAAAAGGGTTTGGCACTGGTGTTAGCAGTAGACAAAAGACAATAATTTTCTTGTGCACTGTTCAGCCCTCTCTCCCCTGGCGTTGTCACTGTGAGATCCCCTCCTGTGTGATCCAGCCAGGATAGCTCTGTGACTTGGTAAATGGTGAGAATACAAAGGTCAAATCGTATATTGCCTCCATTGGTCAATGGATCAAGGGTACTCCTGCACTGAGATCTCCAACATGACATTATGTAAAGTTACCATCAAACCTTTGGACTTATGTCAAAATTTCTTCAGTTTAGTGTTTTGTGGCATTTTAGCACTCCTGGGAATATAATATTGGCTAAGGTACCCAAAGTCCTATTACTTGGCTGCCTCATTCCCTTCCCACCTCCCCCCAACCCCTTGACATTCCACCTCTCTTTCCAGTGACTGGCATCTGGCTAGGTCCTCATTTCCAGCTGCTTCTACAGGTGCCCATGTTCTTCCTAACTGATCCTGGACACTTGCACAACTATTTGGAAACAAGGAGGAGACCCACCACCATGTGAGCAGCCATCTTCCTGTGGACCCCCAACAAGTGTTATATAGGCCATGGTTTGGGAATGACTAGTTTAGCGTGTAGTTCACTTATGAGTGTGTTGTAAATCCAAGTTACCTTTTTGTATTTTTCAAAGGGAATCTCCTAATCATAATTCTTGTAAGCTACTTTGGAGCGAAACTTCATAGGCCAAAGATAATTGGAGTTGGTTGCCTAATAATGTCAGCTGGAACCTTTCTAATTGCGATGCCCCAATTCTTTATGGGACGGTAAGTGCAAAGCAATCTGTTCTTTCTGTTCAGAAAGAAATGCACTAGCGCAGAACTTACCTTTTGCCCATGAACCTATTTAAACTACATAGACACTGTATGCACCTATTCAAACCACATAGACACTGATTGTGGAAGTGCTGATGGGAACAGAGAGTAATATGGTTACTATTATTAATTGTTTATTACAAATAGATTATTTATTACTATAGTTGAGCAAATAATAGAAAAAATATTCCATCAATATCAATGCAAATTTGAAATTCATTTCTGATTAGTTGACGTTTGTAAGCCCTTTCTGGGCATGATCTAAAGCCCATTGGAGCCGTCTATGATGAAGTGACGAATAAAAACAGAAAATAGTGAGTAGGAAAAAACTATGTAGGACCCAGAGGACAATCCCACTATTTTGTATTCTACACTAGACCAGATTTGGAACTCAGAATACCAGGTGATCTTCTGGGATGTGGCCACATGCACACTTCATACAGTACAATATTCTTACAACATACATTTACTTATCTAACCCCTCTCAATCATGTATACATATAACCTGTAATCCATGCAGCTTGTTGGGATCACCTTAATCAGATGCACCTGAGACTTCATTTAAGTGCTTTGGTACATGTGTATCTTCAATGAGGATGCAATGAAATTTTCTGTTGTAATATATCGTAACGGGGAGAAGAGTAAAGATGTTGATTTTTACACAGCTATAGGTATGAGATATTTTCTTCCTCCACCAATTCTACTGTCAGCATCTCCCCATGTCTACAGGATAAAAGCCAAATACCACTCTCAGGCTTAGAAAGGTCTCAAGCCAAAATAAATGCAGGTAAGAATATTCCATTTAAAAAAAAATATTGTGTATGTATGTAGGTGGGTCTGGTAGCACTGGCTATTATGAAGGTTGCCCAATACGTCACATTATAAGACCCAGTTTCCAGTTGCCAAACTTTAACTATTTGGGGTGAAATTTTCCATGCTGTGTCTGCCTCTGGCTGAAGGTTTCTGTGGAAATTTTGGCCAAATGGGTTCAGCCAGTTCAAGAACAAGCACAGCACAGCTCCCATTGACTTTAGCTGGAGCTGTGAGCGCTCAGTACTACTGCAGATCTATCTCCAGGGTCTCAGATCAGGCACCCAGAAAACGAGGAACACACAATTTGTGACTACATGTGAAAATTCTAGTTTAAATGACTTGTCCAGCATCACATATACATTGCGAACTCTGTGGCAGAGGCAGGGATAGAATCCAGTTCCCCAGAGCAGCATTCAACTGCTGTAACAATAGGACCTCTTCTCTTCTCTCACTGTGTATCCCCTGCCTCATTCACTATATACTTTTCTGCTTCTGCAACAAGTGAGGCAGGAGGTCCCACAGACAACAGCCTCTTTCACTGCACAATCCTGATTCATCCCCAGAATAGCTCCATCTTGCCACACATTGAACAACAGGAAGAAAACAATATTAAATAGCTGCTCCTTAAGTGAGCACCGTCCATCCTGTGCACTCAATGAGGCAGAGGCCCTATGTAAAAAAATAAATAGTATGTGATCATGTAATTAAAGACTGTATCATAATGCAACACGCTCTAGGGGACCAAATTAAGGTTGCATAAGCAACCTTAATTCTGGCATTTCTTAACTTTTGAGCGCTGACTTTGTGACCTTAATAATGCTCTTTTAACATAGTTTTTGTGTGTGTTATATATACACAAGATATATCCCAAGCAACCATGTAAAGGAAATTATCTTTGTTTCATATCTGTGCTACTTTTTGCACTAGAAACATAGCTGAGCCTGCTTTAATGCCATCTTTTAATTCCTCCAATCCTGGGGCCAGCCAGAGGCTAGTAAGATCCCTGGCATAAATTGAAGCAGCCTGAAAAATGCTTATTTCCAGCTGCTTGTGGCCCAAAGGAGCTGTCCAACCAAGGTAGGGATAGCTGGATCTTAGGAACACCCTGAGATACCTTCAATATAGGAGAATGGTAAGGATTGCAGGGATGGAAGTGCTATACACCATCTGAGCATTCCCCCATAATTGTGAATTCTCAGTGGGATAGATCTGCTGGTTTTACAGCTGCTTGGTGCTGCGATGTACTGCTGCTTGGCGCTGCATCAATTTCACAGCTGCCTTGCTAGGTGGGATGACTGCCATAAAGCCGTGTGTGCAGGTTCTGCGGGAATCTCAATAAACTCAAATACGTCAACATTCAACATTTATTGGTCCAAAAGATAAAATAAAGCCTGGTCTTTGTCATTGCATTGGCACCATTCAGGAATTCAAATAACCTGTTAAACTGTGTGGCACTGAGGAAAATATAGATTCCAAAGCCAATAGGGGCTCTACTGATATTTGCCTGTATGACTTAAAGAGAACCATTAGAGTCCCTTTTACCTCTGCTCACAATGCTACAGAATGTTAGCTGTTTGGATGAAATGCATGAGGTGTGTGGTACAGCACAGGCACTGAATCTGGTGCATAAAACAGCACAGAAGTGGTTTAAAATTTCATTCTACTGACTGGCCTTGGGAGCGTTGTTTTAGCTTTGCAATAAATCTGTGGGCTCAGTTCTTCCTCCCAGTTACACAGGTGCCAACAGGAAATGTACCTGTACAGCTGAGGACAGAGCTGAGTCCTGTGTGTTCAATGTCAAAATGTCACAAACCATGTCTTGTTTTACTCTCTCTCTGTATCCAGGATGTGAAAAAGAAGTTGGATCGTCCATGTGGATCTATGTTTTGCTGGGGAATCTTTTGCGTGGGATAGGGGAGACTCCTATCCAGCCTTTGGGAATTACGTATATTGACGATTATGCCAGCGAAGAGAGTGCTGCTTTCTACATTGGTAATATAATAATTCAAATTACTTGATCCTAATGTCTTATTTTTTGCAAGAAGTAAATTGAGTTGTTTTCAGTAGCAGAATGAGTGACATTAAATTAACTTGTCCTGATTATTTTGCTTGCATGGTTTAAAATTTTCAAGGTTTTATTTAAAAGCTGTGTGCATTTTAGGGGCCAAATTCCACTCTTGATTACACCAGTGTAATCCCATTATCTTCATTGAGAAGATAATTTGGCCTCGGATTCCTGCTGCTACCTTAATCTTATTAAATCTTCTGCATGTAGATTAGTGGATTACACACTCAATTCTCTGGAGGGGAATAGAAATGTATATAGCATAGATTTAATTGTAGCATTTGTAGCATGGAATTTAAATTATGGACAGACAAACTATTATGAACAGAATCAGAACTTGGAATCTTCCCTCCAAACTGAATCAGAACCAGTCATATGTTGAGGGTCGAAATACTTAAAAGAACTTTTTCCCTATTGTGATTCATGTGTGACCATACCTGTATATTAAGATGAAATACCATCTGGAAGGTTTTTATCACTAGAGACTTTTTTTTTTTTTAAGTATTTCTAGTCTGGTTAGAAGTGAGATCTACCAGAAATTTTATGCAAAAATTTGTTCTTGCAAGATTTCCAGATCAATTTTGAAAACTCAAAAGATGTGTGTGGGTTGGATAAGAGCCAAATAAAAAACATCTGAACTTAATCCAGTGTGACGTGCTGAACCTTTTTGAGGTTTGTCCATCACTAATAAAATATGTTGGTTAATGTACACACGTTTTCTGACCACCTTATACATAATTTGCAACCCTGTTGGTGGCACTTCTGAATTTGGAACACAAACTTCCATGAATTCACTTATTCCAGGCTGAATTTGGTCTGTTAATTGGGTGACAGCAAAAAAACAAAAGTGAAATTTTGATGCAATGAGCCAATTTTTGCTTTTTGATACAATGGTGCTAGTCTGGAACAATTCCATTGTCTGGGAATACGAATGAGATTATTTTGGATTTGAACCAATGTGTGTGAAGGCAGAATTTGGTCCTGCATGTTAAGATACAGATCACTTTTCACTGATACTGTCCACAAGAACAGAGCATGACAATGTATGAAAACAGAGTCCATTTAAGGCAGAAAAATGACAGTTTCCTTGTGTTTTTTTGCAGGGTGTGTACAGACAGTTGCAATTATAGGCCCAATATTTGGTTTTCTTTTAGGATCCCTCTGTGCCAAACTATATGTTGACATTGGCTTTGTAGACTTGGGTAAGTTAGAAAAATCATTTTTAAAAATTGTTTACTCTGTGTGTCGCATTGAAAAGTTCCAAACCCTTCAAAGTAAATGATATGGGGGATATAAAAAGGCAGGTTAAATTAAAGGCTTGAGGGTAGTTGGCTTTGGAAGTTTTTAAACTGAAAAATTATTTCCAGCATAAGAAGAATTCTCTTCCCCCCCCCCATCATAATATTGCTTAAATTAAATAAAAGACATTAAAATACAATCCCTTGAATTCAGCAAAACCCATCAGTAAAAAAAAGTGATATATTCTGCATGCATGTTTTCTAAAATAATGGGATTTTGGATTTTTTTGTAGAGACTGAATGCCTAGAGTATAAGAAAGGGACTGAATGAAGTGTAAGGTACTTCTCAACATGAATAAGGATGGCAGAATCTGACCCCAAAATAGGTCATATAATTAGAGCTGGTTGGAAAATGTTGTTTATTCCCCCCTCCCCAAAGATAATTTTTGACTTTTCAGCAAAAAAAAACCCAACCCTCCTCCCCCCCCCAACAGAAAAACTTTTTTTTTTTTTTTTTTTTTGAAAATGTTTTTTGTTTTTTTTTTTTTCACTTTTTTTTTTTTTTTTTAAGGTAAGCTGAATTTTTTTGTTTGGTTAACCTCCCCCAGTTTTCCATCCAAAAAAAGTTTGGATGGAAATTGTTTAACCATCTTTAAATAGACTCTTTTAGTGAATGTTTTGAATTCCTTGTCCTGACTGTACTGGGACGGGGTAAACATCAATGCATAAATAACTCTTTGTTGTTGCTGTATTTTTGAAATCCATTCTACTGATAAGATGATGCTCTATCAGTGGGACTGATCTTTTGAACTGCCGAACACTTGCCCCTTCCACTCTTATTGACTTAATAGGAAGTTGCTTAGCACATGTCATGAACAGGATCAGAGTTTGAATATGAAACATTGATCAAAACACGTGGCACAATTATTTATTTTTAAACCCTACAGGTAGATAGATTTTGTTTGTGTCAGTTGGAGAAAATACAATCGGGATTTTGATGTGATATAAATGCTGATTACATTTAACCCAAATCACAAGTTATACAGAAATACGAGAACTCAAAAGAAAAACTCCCAGTCTGCATGGGAGATGTGGCAGCATCATGATTATATGCCTCAATGGCAACCTTTCCGACCACTTAAGGAACAGTCAGGGGTGAAAGTAACTTAAAGGACTTACCGGTACGCCGGAGTCCTGAGCGGGGGTGGGGCCTCAACTGGAGGGGGCGGGGCCTTTCAAGATTTAAAGACCCTGGGGCTCTGGCTGTGGCTGGGAGCCCCAGGGCCTTTAAATCACCCTGGAGCTACCAGCGGCTGGGAGCTCAGGGGTGAATTAACAGGCTCAGGGCTCTGGCCGCTGCGGAGCTCCGGGCCCTTTAAATCACCGTGGGAGCCCGGCTGCCGGAGCTCCGGCGGTGATTTAAAGGGCCCGGGGCGCCCCGTAGCGGCTGGAGCCCTGAGCCCTTTAAATCACCGCCACGGAAGCCAGTCTAGTCCGGCACGGCGTACTGGCTCTTGCCAGTACGCCGGACCGGACTGGCTTACTTTCACCTCTGGGAACAGTGTAGATAGTTTCTAAAGGGGTGTGTACTCCACAGCTGTCAGAAAAGTATTGGATGTGGGTGGAGATGGTGACTATGGAAAAAGAGATCTGGGGCTCTGTTGAAGAAATAAGAATCTCTACTGGGAGAGGTACCCTCCAAAGTTTGCTTTGCTCTTAACAAACTCTCACTAAATATGCAAATATGTCCCTCTTTCCCCCCCTGTACCACAGACAGTATAACAATAACTCACAATGATGCCCGATGGGTAGGAGCTTGGTGGCTTGGTTATTTAATAGCAGGTGTGTTAAGTGTTCTGGCTGCCATCCCATTCTGGTTCTTACCAAAGCACCTGCCAAGACCAGAAAGCAGAAAGGATTCCAGTACCTCCTCTGAGCAGTCAAAGTTCATTATTGAAGATAACAGCGAGCATCACCAATCTTATGAACAGCAAGTAAAGATACTTGAAATGGCGAAAGGCAAGTAAACACATTTTGTTTTATAACTGTTTAGTTTTACACCTTACCTTTCAGGCCTTACCTTACCTCTGTTTAAAGGCCTCAGAGTTGATATTGGCTTAGTGGCACATTAGGATTAGCAATATGAACAAAAGAGGCCCTCTAATTGCTTCCTAGCCCCTCATCTTCTACGGCACAGTTTCTCCAGCTGGGTTTCTGACCCTGAAGTGATCCATGAGGCTGTTGGGGGACAATTTGCAAAAAGGCTAGATCTTTCCCTGTAAAAGATGTATGTTTAAACAAACCCAATACAAAGGGGACCTATAACCCCCCCTCTCAAAAAAATAGCTAACATTACAGAAAGTTTGTAACTCCCTACTGTAAAATCTTGAGGTTGATTGCAAGCTCCATGTTCAGAAAAACGAATGGGAAAATAATTGGCTTCTACTCACATGAGCACGCCCAGGCTGAACAAAATGCAGGAAAAGGCAAAGTTATGGCATCTGCTTGTATGGAAGCAGGACAAAAAAATATTTTATTTATAAGACCAAGCCACACTATTTCAGTTTAACTAATGCCCTTCCCTCTAATTTCTGGGAATTTTACATCAGCAAGTTGGCAAGAGAATTCCCAGTTATTCACTAGCAACACCTGGGATTTTGGATCAAAGTGAAATAAACCTGGGGATGTTACAGCATTTTGGCTACCTAATGATAGAAAAATGGTGGTGGTTCTTTATTTAGTGGATGCATGCAACATTCATGCGCTATAATGAGTTCCACTCATTTACATTGAGGTCATGAACAAGCCAAGGATATAATTAACTTTGGCTAAAGCCTGAATTAAATCCCTCTCTTTGTGACAGGGAGGAGAAAAAGGAGAGATAGAGAAATTTAATGGGTGCCTGAAAGTAAATATTTTTTCTTTTATTAATTGCTATGCCTGCCTTTTGCTGGAAATATAAAAATATCACAAAAAAGGGTTTTTGTGTGGTATTTCCAACGTGCCTCAAAAGAGGACAGAAGAACGGCCATACTGGGTCAGATCAATTGTTCATCTAGCCCAGTATCCTGTCTTCTGTCAGTGGCCAATGCCAGATGCTTCAGAGGGAATGAACAGAACAAGCAATCATCAAGTGATCCATCCCCTGTCACCCATTCCCAGCTTCTGGCAAATAGAGGCAAGGGACACACACAGCGTAGGGTGCATCCCTGACCATCTTGGCTAATAGCCATTAAAGGACCTATCTTCTATGAATCTTCTATCTTCTAGTTCTTTTTTGAACCCTGTTATGGTTTAGGTCTCTGGTAATGAGTTCCACGGGTTGACTGTGCGTTATTTGAAGAAGTACTTCCATTTGTGTGTTTTAAATCTGCTGCCTATTAATTTCATTGGGTGACCCCTAGCTCTTGTGTTATGTGAAAGAGTAAATAACACTTCCTTATTTACCTTCTCCACACCAGTCATGATTTTATAGACCTCTATCATATCCCCCCTTAGTCATCTCATTTCTAAGCTGAAAAGTCCCAGTCTTTTTAATCTCTCCTCATACAGAAGCTATTCCATATCCATAATCATTTTTGTTGCCCTTCTCTGTACTTTTTTCAATTCTAATGTATCTTTTTTGAGATGGGGTGACCAGAACTGCATGTGGTATTCAAGGTGTGGGCATACCATGGATTTATATAGAGGCATTATGATATTTTCCGACTTACTATCTATTCTTTTTCTAATGGTTCCTAACACTCTGTTAGCTTTTGTGACTGCTGCTGCATATTGAACAGATGTTTTCAGAGAACTAGCCACAATGACTCCAAGATCTTTCTTGAGTGGTAACAGCTAATTTAGTATCCATCATTTTGTATGTATAGTTGGGATTATATTTTCCAATGTGCATTACTTTGCATGTATCAAGATTGAATTTCCTCTACCATTTTGTTGCCCAGTCACACAGTTTTGTGAGATCCCTTTTTAATTCTTTGCAGTCTGCTTTGGACTTAACTAGCTTGAGTAATTTTGTATTGTGTGCAAATTTTGCCACTTCACTCTTTACCCCTTTTTTCCCAGATCATTTATGATTATGTTGAACAGCACTGGTTCTAGTACAGACCTCTGGGGGAAACCACTATTTACCTCTCTCCATTCTGAAAACTGACCATTTATTCCTACCCATTGTTTCCTGCCTTTTAATCAGTTACTGATCCATGAGGGAACCTTCCTTCTTATCTCATGACTGCTTACTTAGCTTAAGAGCCTTTGGTGAGGGATCTTGTCAAAAGCTTTCTGAAAGTCCAAGTACACTACATCCACTGGATCACCCTTATTCTCATGCTTGTTGACCCCCTCAACGAATTCTAATAGATTGGTGAGGCATGATTTCCCTTTGCAAAAGCCAAGTTGACTCTTCCCCAACAAATCGTGTTCATCTATGTGTCTGATAATTTTGTTCTTTACTATAGTTTCAACCAATTTGCCTGGTACTGAAGTTAGGCTCACTGGCCTGTAATTGCTGGAATCAACTCTGGAGCCTTTTATAAAAAATGGTGTCATGTTACGTATCGTCCAGTCATTGGGTACAGAAGCTGATTTAAATGATAGGTTACATACCACACTTAGTAGTTCTGCAATTTCATATTTGAGTTCCTTCAGAACTTTGGGGGAATACCATCTGGTCCTGGTGACTTATTACTGTTTAAATTAACAATTAAATGTATAGGTGAGAACTGGAAATCAAGGTATTGTGAAGTCATCTGAAAATATTGCCTTCACAGATCCCTTCTCTTGCATGTGTGTGAGTCAAAGAGTGACTGTTGAAGCAGTTTCCACAGACACCAAATTGAAACTTATCCAACCCTCTCCGCCCTTTAAGGTTCATCCATCTCTAAAATATATACCAAAGCTGATCAAAGTAGGGATGGGGCACAGTCTAGTGAAAGCGCTGGGTGGGGAATCACAAGATCTGGATTCTAGTCCCAGATATTCCACATACTTTTTTTTCGTTGGCCTTAGATTTCCAAAAGGGTCTCTAGTTTTGGGTGCCTCAGCAGTTGAGTAAGACAACTTGACCCATATAGGGTCAAGCCAGTTGAAGCCAGTGGGAAGTGTGGGTGCTCAGTGCACCTGAAAATCAGGTCCTTAGTTGTCTAAAGTTGAATACCAAAAAAAGTGAGGCACTCAAAACACAATGCCATTTTTGAAAGTTTGACACTTAACTAGTTTGTTCCTCACTCCCCCCTGCCCTCCCCCAATCTGTAAAATAGGGATCATACCCACCTCGCAGCAACTGACTTCATTAATCTTTATTAAGTATTGTGTGGTCCTTGATGGGAAGGTGCTATTGAATTACAAAATATTATTCATATTAATTATTATTTTTCCAGTTTGCTTTTCACTAATAGAGCATTTTGGTTTGCAGATTTCCTGCCATCAATGAAGAACCTCTTCGGAAATCCAGTTTACTTTCTATATTTGTGTGCAAGCATCATTCAGTTCAATTCTTTAATTGGCATGGTAACATATAAACCAAAATATATTGAGCAACAGTATGGGCAATCATCTTCAAAAACGAATTTTGTTATAGGTATGTTAAGTCAACTTCTTGGTGCCTTAAAAATGGAAACCTTTAGGATTGCCGACTGGTAGACAGAAATGGGCAAAAAATGCTTCTGAAGACTACTTTCTGGTCCCCTTGTAAAATTTTTAAATACCAGATGCTGAACATGAATCTGTTTTATCATTGAGTTTAGCATTTAATTAACTCTGAGTTTAAGTGTATGCAAGAGCTGCTGCAAGGGATTGTTGAGATTGCTGGTTTACTTACCCTTCTTCCAGAAAATATAAAAGAAAAATTTCAGGCAATCACAAGAAAATAACTTAAATCAGGAATTAATTTTAAAATAATTTCCGTAAATATATATTTATAAGTATTGCTCACTTCCTAACTTCCCATTCCAACAAACTGAGCATCAGTTCAGAAAGTGGTGTAGGGACCTGTCACGGGGTCATTCACCACACTGGCACCTCCTGCTGGGCATTTTGGGAATTAGCTCATCCCCAGTGGGTGCACCTTTGTGTGGTGGTGGCTCTCCCGTCCTCACCTCCATTTGAAGACCCCTTACGGCTCCTTCCTCTCAACATCTGCTTTGTGGCACAGCCCTCCCGCCATGTCACCATCTGGTTTCCCCCTCTTCTGGGGGACTCCTCCAGCAAGAGTCCAGCCACTCCTCGTAGCAGCTCGGCCGTCCATAGCCGGCCGCTCCTTCAGTGAGGGGGACCCAGGCCCGCCCACTACTCCAGGTCCTGGCCCAGGGACCCTGCCAACAGCAGCTTCCTGCTGCCTCTTCCTTCCAGGTCACTGTCTCTATTCCCTGAGCCTCTGTTCCTTCTTCTCCTATCTCTGGCTCCACCTCCTTTGCCCTCTTCCCCAGGGCCTCGAGCATGTAAGTCCTGGCAGTCTGCCAGGAGCCCTCTAGGAAGCCAGTCTTCTCCCTAGGGCTCCTTGCAGCAGACTAACCCGCTCTGGTCTGCATCTTCCTTTTATATGGGCCGGCTGGGCCCTGATTGGCTGGTCCAGCCACCGTGCTAATTGTCTGCAGCTGCCACCCTAATTGGCTGTTTCCCCTGCAGCCAGTCCTTTGGCTGCCTGCTGCTCAGCCTCCCTAGGCTGGTTTTAACCCTCTCAGGGCTAGTGTGGGGCAGGTGCCCCGTCACAGGACCCAATTATGGTGTAGCTGTAGCATCTCTAGAATTTATTAAGAAATTAGTTAAATAATGTTATTCTCAATTAACAGACGGAGGTAAAGAAAACCCGCTGGGCTTCATATTTACCTCCTATAAAATGCTGACAATTTTTAGTTATTTGCATGTGAGAATGTTAAAAAGAAAAGAATAGGTGATGCTGAAGTGAGCCACAGTGACATGACTCAGCATGGAGGCCAGTAGGTCTCTCAATTGTCCTTCTTTGCTCTTACTGTAAGACACCTCTTCCTGCTGCCTTCCTGTTGGTCTGTGCTATGCTGCTTGTTCCCCAGTTCCAGATCACACCTTCCTACTGCAGACTTCATCCTTCCCCCATTTCCAGGCTGTATCAATGTTATAGCGCATTCTCCATGAGACTTAAGGGAGATATAACATGTTCTCACCCATAAACTATCACCTTGCCCTGCAGAGAGTCCTTACTGGGGTTGGGGCAGCACTGTCCCCATTCATACAGAGAGGGGTAGATCCACCAGGCAAGGTACCTTTCATACAGAGATGGAGTGGGGACAATCCCTGGTTATTTAATTTTATTTCACTTGTTACAGTGAGCCTGTCATGAAAAGAGTACCCCAGTTGCAGTGGCCTAGATATTCAGTGCTGTCCTTGTATAGACCTTAGAGGCTCTTCTTCATGCACTTTCTAAAGTTCATAATTGTGTTTAACATTTGGTTGGACTAGGAGTGTAATCTGGTATAATATCAAAGTATGCCATTAATCATACTGAGTCATGGTTAAATTTGGCTGCACCTGGGATGCCCTCTGTGATATTCTCTGTAAAGCCATTACTATTCAAATTCCCGCTCAAGATCCACTTCTAGCATGATGTCGATAAGATTGTATCCACCTAATATTGCTTATGTCAAAATCTACATTAAGGCATCTGCTGCTATGTGATTTCTCTTAATAGAGAGTCTGGAAGTTGACATGGGCTTTTTTTTTCTCCGTTTGAACTAGATATCTTACAAATAATAGCAAAGGTCATGTCCCCCATAATTGTGGATTGCTTTATATTCAATCATGTGTTTGTTAAGTATGCATCAGAATGAAGGAATGTAAAGCTGTGTAAAACAAAGGCTCTCATTTCTTGGCAACATCTTTAGGATGGTGAATCTCAGCCTGGCCATTTGGGGAAGCCTGAGGTTTGAATTAAATTACTGAGTTTCAGTGTCTCAACCATATTAGACAACAAGGAGGTTTGCATCTAATACAGAAAAGACTGTCTTCATTTCATGGATCTCAAGACACAGCACAGCAACAGAGGTATACATGTGCAGAAAAGCCACATTGATCCATTGTGCTATGTTAATTCCTTGAAGATAGAAGTTGGAATTTCCTGGCATGAGACCCATAGAAATGTAGACAAGTAAAGGTGATGGCCAGAAAAGCATTCAAAACAATTCATATAGGCAATACAGTAGTTTGCATTGTATATAAAGATTTTCCTAGTGCTAAGCTTTCAACTATGTGTGAAATGATTTAGGATTAATACCCATCTAATTTCACAAAGCTCTGGAACCATGCTTGGCAAAGGCTATGTGACTCTGCTGTGTTTGAAAGAGTTCTAGCTGTATTGCCATCACTAGAAGGCAGATCACTGAATTCCTCCCTGACACAAAGCATGGTCCGGGCAGCCAGCAATGACCTTCCTGAGGATCTCTGCCTGAATTCCTGTGATAAATATCAGGATTAGCAAAGGCTGTGAGAGGTCTGAAGCATAGCAACTACAAAACAGTTGGCGGCGTTAAATAGTTACAGTACAAAAGGTGCACTGCAGGATTCTTACACCAAAGAATATTCAGAAGAGCCAAAGGGGCCTGATGCATTCTTTAGGCAAACTTTTGCTACTTGTTAAAGTATTGTTTGTACCACTCCCAAAGATGAGGCTCAAACACAACAGAACTGGACATGGTCCCTGCTCTAAAGTGTTTACCAGCTAGGCTTTAGAGCTGGCACCACAAGTGAGAGGCAGCACTGTAGAACTAACAAGTTGAGAGTAGTGGGATGACATATATATAAATAAGATCCCGGAGTAACTCTCTTAGCTCATGCATACGGCATTGTAAACACTGCTTTCTAAAAATCATAACGTGGGATTTTTAGAAGCACTGAGTTGTCAAATTTCTATTGCCATAGATGCCAATAGGAGTTTTATTTTTGACTTCAATGGGAGCAGAATTAGCCCCACACCAAACACTTTTGAAAATCCCACCCTTCATTAGTTGTCTTCCTATAGGCTTTGTGGCAATTAGCTTTATCTTGTTTTATTCTTAGTTTATTACAAAATATTGATAGGCATGTTTACCTCCACTATGTTCATTTTCAAATCGGTGAATTCATACAGTTTCCTATAAAGATGAACGTTTAAAGAAACATGCAATTAAAATATATATCACAATGCTTCCTAATTCAGTGGTAAACATATCATTTGTACAAGCTATACAGTGAAAGTGTTACTGGTATGTATGCAGTAAACCTCTGAGCAATATATATCTATGGAAAATATTGACTTGCATATAATATATATATCACTGTTTTCTATTGGATTGAATAAGATCTATTCTAATAATTAATAGGCATCTAGTGGCTGTCTTCTAAGCCTACTTTAACAAAAACAATGAGGAGTCCGGTGGCACCTTAAAGACTAACAGATGTATTTGAGCATAAGCTTTCGTGGGTAAAAAAACCCACTTCTTCAGATGCATGGTGTGAAAATTACAGATGTAGGCATTATTATACTGACACATGATGAGAAGGGAGTTACCTAACAAGTGGAGAACCAGTGTGGACAAGGCCAATTCAGTCAGGGTGGATGTAGTCTACTCCCAATAATTGATGAGGAGGTGTCAATGCCAGGAGAGGGAAAGTTGCTTCTGTCATGAGCGAGCCACTCCCAGTCCCTATTCAAGCCCAAATTAATGGTGTTAAATTTGCAAATGAATTTTAGTTCTGCAGTTTCTCTTTGAAGTCTGCTTTTAAAGTTTTTTTCTTCAAGTATGGCTACTTTTAAATCTGTTATAGTATGTAAATGGAGATTGAAGTGTTCTCCTACTGGCTTTTGTATGTTACTATTCCTGATGTCCAATTTGTGTCCATTTATTCTTTTACGTAGAGACTTTCTGGTTTGGCCAATGTACATGGCAGAGGGGCATTGCTGGCACATGATGGCATATATCACATTAGTAGATGTGCAGGTGAATGAGCCCCTGATGGTGTGGCTGATGTGGTTGGGTCCTCTGATGTTGTCGCTAGAGTAGATATGGGGACAGAGTAGGCAACGAGGTTTGCTACAGGGATTGGTTCCTGGGTTAGTGTTTCTGTGGTGTGGTGTGCAGTTGCTGGTGAGTATCTGCTTCAGGTTGGGGGGTTGTCTGTAAGTGAGAACTGGCCTGCCTCCCAAGGCCTGTGACAGTGAGAAGTCGTTTTCCAGGATAGGTTGTAGATCGCTGATGATGTGCTGGAGAGGTTTTAGCTGGGGGCTGTACATGATGGCCAGTGGTCTTCTGTTATTTTCCTTGTTGGGCCTGTCCTGTAGTAGGTGACTTCTGGGTACCTGTCTCGCTCTGTTAATCTGTTTCCTCACTTCCCCAGGTTGGTATTTTAGTTTTAAGAATGCTTGATAAAGATCTTGTAGGTGTTTGTCTCTGTCTGAGGGATTGGAGCAAATTCAGTTGTATCTTAGGGCTTGGCTGTAGACAATGAATCGTGTGGTGTGTCCTGGATGGAAGCTGGAGGCATGTAGGTAAGTATAGCGGTCAGTAGGTTTCTGGTATAGGGTGGTGTTTATGTGACCGTCACTTATTTGCACTGTAGTGTCCAGGAAGT